TAGAGTAGAGTAGAGTAGAGTAGAGTAGAGTAGAGTAGAGTAGAGTAGAGTATAAAATAGAATAGAGTAGAGTAAAGTAGAGCAGAGTAGAGTAGAGTAGAAAATAGAATAGAACAGAACAGAACAGAACAGAATTCTTTATTGGCCAAGTGTGGTTGGACACACAAGGAATTTGTCTTGCTGCAAATGCTCTCAGTGTCCATAAAAGAAAAGATACATTCATCAGGAGTCAAGAGTCCTCAGGTACAACACTTAATGATAGTCATACCGAACAATAAGCAATCGAATCATACTAGGAAACAGTCAATATAAATCATAAGGATACAAGCGACAAAGTTACAGTCATACAGTCATAAGTGGGAGGAGATGGGTGAAAGGAAGGATGGGAGGATTGATAGTAATAGTAATGCCTTTCTATTCTCCGATTAATTAACGACCATTATTAATTAATGACTGTCTATTCTTTGCAGGATTTAGAAAACTCACAGACAAGCTTATCTGTTGCCTCTGTTTTGCAGGCTCTAAATTCCAAGTTTAGGGAGGAAGCAAAAGAGAAAACCACTTGCTTTTCAATAAGGAAAGATATCCTGGAAGATTCAGGAATAAAATGGTCAGAGGAGAAATCTGGTTCCAGCCCAGAGATCCAGGACTCAAATATGGGAAAGCAACACCTGGAAGAGCACCAGCCAGCAATTTTCCAGAATCGTCCGGTGACTTCTCAAAATACCCCAGGCATTTCTTCTAGTGTCCCATTACCAAATGGGATGGACAATCGGGTTCAGAAGGAAGATGCAGAGAAGTATTGTCCAGGTTGGGGCCAGGATGAAACCCAATGTGGACTACCTTCTAATCGTGAGAGTAAGCAGCCAATTACTCCCGCATTAACAGCCCAAGAAACCCGTTTTCAGGGTAGATCCAAGGATGAGTTGGACCAAGTTGCTCCTTGGACCAAAGGCACGAGAGGAGAAGAGCAAGAAGAAGCCCCTAAGTTATTGAGAGAGAATACACCCACCCCCCAAATGCATTTAGTTCCGGAGAGGAAGAGGTCATCTGAAGCAATAGAAAGATCACGACCGATCTCAGAAGTTGCCACCACCACCCCAGGTCTTTCTCAAGTTGTTTCAGAGAGTCCTCCTCCAGCTTCAACAGTGACGAGCGCTCCCGTGCTTCACGATTCCCAAGAAAAAACTCTGCTTTGTCCAGTCAAAGAAGACCTTCTTGAGAGGAACCAATCCGTAGCCCACTTGCTAAAAGATATTAAGAGAGAAACAGAAACTCAGCCACCTGGGACAATGGTGGCTTCAGAAGAACCAGACCGGCAAGTCACCAGGACTGAAACCAAAGAGGTCTGTGTGCAGAAAGAATTCCTGGTTCCTCCAAGGAGTAAAAAAGAGAAGCAAGAGTCTAAAATGTACACCAAGAAGACAGAGGTTAGAGATAAGGAAAAGGACACAATAGCTTCTGATATTCTTTCAAGAGAGAATTCTCGTCCTCCTGAGGCGGTAGTGGAGGAGAATCTATCCCTGGAGAAAGACCAGAATACCGACCTTGTTTCTTCTTTGAAAAATTATTTGCTGTTGCTCTTGAAGATCACCTCCGAGTCAGACAAAAGCAAAGCCAGAAGCCCCAAGCCAGAAGCCAAGATGATGGAGGAGAAGACTCCACTAAGTGCTATTCCAAAACACCTGCCAGATGTGGGCATTGCGGGATTAACTCCCCGGACTTCCAGGAAGATCTTCGAACAGGTGGAGACCGATCAACTTTTCCAGAGTGCTGAGAACTTGCAGTTGACGCCTAGAACTTCTCGGAAACTCACAGGGATGATCAACCAAGAACTGCTTGCTTGTCAGAAGAACCTCAACATTGAACCGGAGACGCCTCCTTTGCCCTGTGTTCCCTCCATTGTGGTCGGCGGCATTGGCGGTGAACCAGCAGGTCTCCCCCACCTTCCCTCTTCTGAGATTGTTAGTGACACCCCAACAGCCCTGCCAAGTGCCACACCTGAGGAGCTGGCATCTGGCGCCCGTCGGAAGATCTTTCTACCCAAAACCAAGCCAACGGAGGAGATGGAAGAAGGGGTCCCGGAGAGTCAGCTGTGGCCTAAAAGGGACAGTCCCAGTGTGTCTCCACAGCAGGGCCGAAAGAGCCAGGCTCTCTTGCAGACCTCGGCCCCGGGTTCTCCTGCGGAGAAGCGCTCTCCAAGCTTGGCCAGGAAGATGGCAACACTGGAGGTTCCCAAGATGTATCAGGAGACGGCGGGAGAAAGCCAAAAGGAGGAGGACAGCTCCCCGTTGGTGCCAGAGGGTGTAGAAGAAAGTGTGCCCAAGGTGGGAGAATCTAGGAAAACCAACGATCCATTTAAAGGTAGGTGTGTATTTTCTTTCTAGGAGAGTCAGGAGATCTTGAGGACTGAGGTTCTGAAAAGACCTTCTCTTTGGGGGGATGTAGGTGGAGGGAGGCTGGACAGGGTAGGAAGAGATCCCGGAACCTTCACAGCTGTGGGTTGAACAAACCTGTGGAAACCAGAGGTGGGTCTTCAGCAGGTTCTGACCAGTTCTGGAGAACCGGTAGTGGAAATTTTGAGTAGTTCGGAGAACCGGCAAATGACTGGCCCCACCCCATCTATTCTCCACCTCCCAAGTCTCAGCTGATTGGCTGATTCTTTGGTTGCCCTGCAGAAGAGAACGGAGCCGAAAAGCAGATTAGTGGGTTGGGGAGGGAATGGCATTTTGCAGTAACCTTCCCCCCAGGAGTAGAGAGGGAATGGGGATTTTATAGTATCCTTCCCCTGCCACGCCCACCAAGCCACACCCACCAAGCCACACCCACAGAACCAGTAGTAAAAAAAAATTGAATCCCATCACTGATGGAAACCTCTCTGCTACGTAGTCCCTGCCTTCTAGAATCCAATAAATGTTCTTTTCAAAGCCAAGCGAGTTGAGAGCTTGCGGCTTCTTCCATCCCAATTCACCTCTGGGCATTGAGAAATGACCGCTCTCATTTGTCATCTTTTCTTAGCGCCACAAGTGGTTCGCAAGATCCGAGGGGAACAGTTCTCTGATGCCTCCGGGAATTTGAAGCTATGGTGTCAGTTCTTCAATATCTTGAGTGACTCTAAGCTTACCTGGTACAAGGATGAGGTGCCCATGGCAGAAGTCAAAAGAAGGTTAGTCTTGTGGAAATGTCTCCAGTGGGTAGCAGTAGAAATGTGATGATCTGAGCAATGTTTCTCTCTTTCTCTCTCTTGGATAATTTTTGCCCTGTCTTACTTCTTTTCCCACCATGCCCCAAACTCCTATCTTCAGTCCTTCTCCAACATTCTAGATAGACTAGATTTCATTCCCCATAATTCCCAGCCATCTGTTCTGACCAAGGCTTCCAAGACCGTAATTAAGCACCCGCTTAAGTTAAAACAACTCTTGTTTTATTTCAATACTGGAAATTATGTTCATTCCCAGCCTGTAATGAGTCCCAAATAGTCCCTCGAGATAAGCACCCACCTTTCTCTCCTTTGAATTGCTGCCAACAACTAAAGTGCCAAATGAACTGTAAAAAACCAACCGAAGTACAAAATCCACGCAGAGCTTCAAGGATTAATCTGAACAGAGCGAACGACTTTGCTTCCTGCAAAGGTTTCTCTACCTTTGCCTCTCCTTTATACCTTATGGGAGGGGCAATCACCTCCCAGCCTTACTTCCGAGTTGCCCCTTTTGTCTCAGCTGCTCTTGCCTTCTAGCAGCTCTGTGCATATGCACACTGGGAACAGGCTCCCCTGAATCCTCTTCCTCGCTGCTGCCAGACTCCGGAGGCTCCAGAGTTACCACCCCACTCCCAGATGGTCCTGGCCCCATCCTTGCATCGAATGCAGGACCCTCGTCCGAGTCCTCTCCAGACTCCCTGACTGGTCCCCTTTCTTCCTCACTGTCTGATTCCGCTGCCATCTGCACAGGCTGCCGGCGAACCACACCACCGCCATCGTCAGGCTTGTTAAGAATTCTGGGAGTTAAGTTGCACACCTCTGGCAGGTAGCAAATTGGGGAGGGCTGTTAGCTTACTAAGTTCATCCAGACCCCTCACATCCTGGACATAAAGTGTTTCAACCCCTTCCCTCAAAACGACGCTATAGAGCACTGCACACCAGAACAACTAGACACAAGGACAGTTTTTTCCCGAATGCCATCACTCTGCTAAACAAATAATTCCCTCAACACTGTCCAACTATTTACTCAGTCTGCACAACTCTTACTATTAATCTTCTCATCACTCCTTATCACCCATCCCCTCCCACTTGTGATTGTATGACTGTAACTTTGTTGCTTGTATCCTTACGATTTATATTGACTGTTTCCTAATATGACTTGATTGTTGATTGTACCCTATGACTATCATTAAGTGTTGTACATTATGATTCTTGATTCTTAACGAATGTACCTTTCCTTTATGTATACTGAGAATATTTACACCAAGACAAATTCCTTGTGTGTCCAATCACACTTGGCCAATAAAGTATTCTATTCTATTCTATTCTATTCTATTCTATTCTATTCTATTCTATTCTATTCTATTCTATTCTATTCTATTCTATTAAAAGGTTACATTTACTCACCATCAGCTTAATTGCTTTATTTTTTTATGATGATAATTTGGAAGCATCTGGTTAGTCATTCCTGCAGTGTGTGCTGTAGATTTCGTGTTTTCCAGCTCCGGAGACGAAGGACAGGCAGCTCTGGCCATCGTGCAGATGTCCCTGAAGGATTGTGGGGTGTATCAGTGTACCATCCAGAATGAATATGGGACTGACAGTACTGATTTCCTGCTAAGCTCTGAAGGTGAGATTTGGTCACTCAATAGATCTCTTGTTGAGAGTGAAAGACTCGAGACAAATGACTTGCTTGACTCAGTCGTGGGCTGCAAATTTTTTAACAGCCGGTTCTCTGGCTGGGTAGGTGTGGCCGGTTGGTCATGTGACTGGGTGGGTGATGTCACTCATATACCCAGCCCTGCCTCCCAGCCACTCACCTCAAAGGAACAGGTAGGATTCAGCTGGTGGGGGTTAATCTCATCACTGGCTGCCCCCCCATTTCTCAGCCTGTTTCAGGGCCATTTTCAAGCCGTTTTTCAGGCTGTTTTTCAGGCTGATAGTCAACTCATAAAATATTTCTGTGGTCTTTTTAGAGTTGCCAACAGAAAGGGAGGGGGGAGCAGTGGGCAGCTTGCATTCCATAAATGTTTTCAAAGATAGTTTCTAGGTGACCGAAGTTTCTGCTGTGCAAAATTCTAACTGGAGAACACGATTGATGACTCTTGGCTATGGATGTGTCCCTTTGGAGAATATGAATTATGATCCACCCAGGGGGTGGGGGAAAACCAGGGTCAAGGGTGACAATGAATGATGTGTCTCAGAGTCAGCTACATCCAGGCAATACCGCATCTTTTGACTTCTAATAAATCCTTTTGGAGTTTGGATAGAGACTCATGATTTAAATGGGGTTAAGTGTCAGAATCCTGACACTGATTTTGGCTCAATAAATGGCCCAAAAATGGCCGAAAACAGCCCAAAAAACAGGTGGGGTGGGGCCAGTGGTGGTCCAATTTGCCGGTACTCCGAATCGTGCAGAATCGGAACAAGGGGTTCTGGTGAACTGGTCCGAACCTGCAGCAGCCCACTTCTGGCTTGGCCCCTCTCTTGGCATCAACCTACATCTGGCTTTGTATCTTCCAAAAGAACAAGTCCAATGCAGTTTGGCTCCAACTCTATTAAGACCTCTTTACCCCTTTCCGATCTTCTTCCAAGTAAGAGAATCATACTATATCTCTTCCCCTGTCTTGCTCTTTTCCCTAGTGCTGTCTGGATTTATTGCCAAAGAAGAAATAGAAGGTAAAGTACACCAAAAAAAAAAAAAAAAGGTATGGTGAGTCAAATGCCCTTGGAGATAACATGGCCCCCATCATGAACCCTGCCCTCCACAAGCTCGTCACTATGGATGACTTTCCAGTTGAAGGAAAGAGAGATGGTTGAGATGACGCTGTTTCATACCGAGGCCAAAGATCCAAGGAAGGAAGATATTTTACTCATGGAGGTTCGGAGCAAAATTCTGTGCCTTTCTCCTATTTCCCTGGTTTGGTCCATACATGGGCCAAGATTGTTATTATTATTATTATTATTTGGCTCTCTGTGATATGTGAATCCACCTGCTGTGTTTGCAGACAACGTTGCTTATGGAGTCACTTGTTTCCTAACGATTTTTATTGACTGTTTCCTAGTATGATTTGATTGCTTATTTGTACCCTATGACTATTATTAACTGTTGTACCTGATGATTCTTGATTCTTAACGAATGTATCTTTACTTTTATGAATACTGAGAGCATTTGCACCAAGACAAATTCCTTGTGTGTCCAATCACACTTGGCCAATAAAGAATTCTATTCTATTCTATTCTATTCTATTCTATTCTATTCTATTCTATTCTATTCTATTCTATTCTATTCTATTCTATTCTGTTTCATTTCTATTATTCCTATTCCTATTCTTATTCCTATTGTACCCTATGTCTATCATTAAGTGTTGTACCTTATGATTCTTGACTCCTGATGAATGTATCTTTTCTTTTATGTACACTGAGAGCATTTGCACCAAGACAAATTCCTTGTGTGTCCAATCACACTTGGCCAAGAAAGAATTCTATTCTATTCTATTCTATTCTATTCTATTCTATTCTATTCTATTCTATTCTATTCTAAATTCTATTCTAAATTCTATTCTGAATTCTATTCTATTCTATTTCTATTCTATTCTAAATCTATTCTATTCTAAATTCTATTATATTCTAAATTCTATTCTAAATTCTGCTCTATTCTAAATTCTATTCTATTCTATTCTAAATTCTATTCTATTCT